ATAGTTCATTTTTCTCGTTAGTTTTTGATAACTTGTTTGGCTCAATATAAAAGTAACAAACAACAACAACAAAAAAAAGTAACAAACATCCATTGGAGGCAATTTGAAAACAAGAAAGAAAATGTTAAGGTATTATTAGAATCGCCTTAAGCCTACCACCAGAATGTGTATGTATGCATACATGTGCGTGTGCGTGTGTGTGTGTGTGTGTGTGTGTGTGTGTACACGTTTATGTATACGTATATGTGGGTGTGTTTATATGTACATGTGTGGACATGTACATGTGTCCATGAATCATAGCTCTTTCAGCCTTGTTTCAGTGAACACGGGTATGTGGCTTGCAATGTTGATGGTTGCCAACATACTGCACTCTGTGAGGGCTCTGTGGAAGCCCTTCCTCAGGAGGACAGGGCAAATGTAGGGGACTCTCATCAGAAAGCAAGGCCAGATTGGCCATGGGAGCCTGCCCTCAGCAGTCTTTCTTTCTTTCCTTCCACGGTCGTGGGCTTTGGTAGGAGAATCCCAGGCTGGTTGTGTTGCTGAGATGGAAGGAAGTCTCGGAGCACATTCCTCATAAACGTCAAGGGTCCACTCTTCTTTACCCATCTCTCTCTATCACGGTGACATAGAACCATGTGGTGTGTGTGTTGGGGTCATAAATCTTCCGTGCTTCTTGCCGTCAGGACTCCACACTGAGTAAACACAGCTGCTTCGCAGTGAAGGTATTTAGACAGTTTCTCTATTTATTTTGTTCTTTCACGACCTGTACGAGAACAGGACTTCGCGCTGCATATATCTTGAATGAACGGGTGAGCTTTATGAACTGAGGCACTGGAGAAACTTCTGCAGACCCCAGAGAGTGCCACCAACATAACAGAAAACGTGAAGTCACACTGTGTGACACTGATATCAGGAGGATGAATAATTTCTGAACTTTACAGTGAGAGGGTTCTGTAGAGGAGGCAGCCAGCCTAGCTCAGCAGCGACACCACGTGGGGAGACGGTGGATTCCCAGGGCAGTGTTTTACAGGAAGTGGTATTCTGGATGTCTGCACAAACTCCTAACCTAAAGGCCGGTAGCGGGTCCAAAAAAATGGAACACACCAAGATCCTCTCCATGTGACCTAACCCTCTTGGGGTCAGTGAGATCTGCTGATGCAGGAAGGAAAACAAAACAAAACTCAACCCATCCCCACCATTCTGGTCTTTATGTTGAGCCAACTGAACAGGGACGAGACATCTTAAAATATCTCAGCCTCAGCATTGGGACGAGGTCGAGAAGAATCTTCTGGCTGTCCCCAGAAAGAACATCTAGTTCTGTTTCTATTTTCAAATGCATTTTCCTTATCATTGTTTGGAGAACTTTTGACCCCAAAAAACACAATGCTTGATCAGTACTACAAAGAAAACCCTGACCTCTGACCCCAGCCTCTATCGAATATTCAGAGCGTTCCAGAGCATTGAGAAGCATGAAGCACTGGATGGAGGCCCCCACAATCACACGCGTGTGCTCACGCCCTTCAATTCTCAACACAGCATAGGATTCAGTCAAAATCCAGCAACAGGAGGCAGAAGCCGTCCACAGAGCTGACACCAAGTCCGTCAGTCAGGAAGACCAGGCGGGGAGGGGAGCCCACAAACGAGAAGGGGGAGTTTCTGAACACTATTCTTTCCAAGATGATATGTGATCAGGTCCTCAATGGGGAGAGGTCTTGTATGCTGTATACAGAGCAAATATTGGCTCTCACCTTTTTTCAAGAAGTTCATTAATATTTCTCCAGTCAATTACTCAACAGGGAAACACATACCTCCCCCACTGCCTCTGGCTGTCGTTAAAAAGCCAAATTCACTGTGTGTGTGTGTGTGTGTGTGTGTGTGTGTGTGTACACACTATATTGTATGTATGTCTGAACATGTGAGAACGTGTATGTGTGTGCACACATGTAGAGGTCAGAGGTTGACATCAGAGAGCCTCTTTACTTGCTTGCCACTTTATTTACTGAGGCAGGGTCTCTTGCTGCGAGCCTCAAAGCAGTCACATGCTTGATCTCCTCTCCAGCTGCAACCTTCCATGTTCTGGAAAGGAAGTAAGGAGCCAGCCTAGGAGGCTGGGTCACACCCACTGAAGACAGTAGCCCTGGCCCAGGTGGCCCTGGCCTCTCTCCTGCGTGCTATGTGAAGCTCTGGGCTTCGTCCAGCATTTTTATGTCATACGTTCAGCCCGATGAACTGAACATAAAGCAGTGATAAGTAGTTTGCTGTTGGAATTCCTAAGATGAAGGCACAAACATCAGAAAGAGTGCAAACTGCAGAGCACATATCTGCTGCTTTGTTTTGTTTTTTTGAGACAGGGTTTCTCTGTAACAGTCCTCGCTGTCCTGGCAGCCTGTAGACCAGGCTGGCCTTAAACTCACAGAGATCCACCTGCCTCGGCCTCCCGAGTGCTGGGATTAAAGGTGTGCACCACCACTGCCCGGCAGGTGGCATGTGTCTGCAATCCTAGCACTCAGGATGCTGAGGCAGGGGGATCATAGCAAGTTCAATGGTTGGCCTTGTTGCACAGTGTGTTCCAAGCCAGTGTGGGCTGGTGAGAACTTGTCTGAAAATAAATAAATAAATAAACCAACAAATACTGGCTAGAAATTAGGTAATGAAAATGCAAGAGAGGAACGATTTTTAAATGAGAAAAGTTCATGCCGAGCTGATATTAATTTTTTAATTAAAAGCGCTACCTTCAGTCTTCTTCAAGTACCAGGAACTTGTTAAGAACATCTGTTTTTAACCCATTCAACCTCTTAACATCCCAATAATCTCAACTCTCCCAAGTACTCTCCTCCAACCCTCACACCCTCTCCCAGGGTCCGCGTCTGCGTCTGTGAGTCAGTCCACAGCAGCCACTCATCGCTCAGCTCTGCTCTCCTCCACAAACTAAGCTGGCGCAGGGACAGAGGCCAACAGGAAACACAGCACCTCCCCTTCTCACAGTGCAGACGTGAAGAGTGGATTTTGCTCTTTTCAAGTGAGACAGCTGGGTCTGGCGTGTGGAGTCCCCCTGACCACCACAGTTTTGCTTTGTGTTGACATCACTAGCCCCACAGACGGGCCTGTTACTAGCTGACAACAGAAAGAGCTCCTCGAAGTCATGAGTCACAATGAATACGAAATTGACAGCAGGTCACCATGAAGGGATTAGTGAGAACACACACCTGGAGAGCCTGGCAGCCTGCCCAAATCCGGTGTCCTTCACAGACCAGCAGTGAGCACACTCCCGAACACATTTCCAACATTTCCATTTTCCTTTTAGACTTGAATGACAAACACGAAAGCCAAAGCCTTTCTTGCCACAAGACAGCAGACATCAGCACACAGCAAACAGAAATTGTGATTTTTTTTTCCCCACTCAAAGACTTGCTGACAAAACCCCCTGATCACAACAACTGGTTTTGAGTCCAGCTGATTGCAGATTCCAAAAGTTACCCTTCAGCAGGCACAGGGGGCTGGTTCCTGCACTCCCTCCCACAGGACACCAAAGGCCAGTGTCTCAGTCACACAGAATAGCCCAGCACTAGCATGTGACACCCTCCTGTGGACTTGGAATACCTAACACACTGCCAACACTTAACAGTTGCTACACTGCACTGTGTAGCATTCAGGCAATGACAGGAAAAGCAGTCTGCCTGTGCTCAGCAGAGGCAGGATTGGTTTTAGCCGTGTACATGTGTGTGATGTGTATGTCCGGATGTGTGTTGTATGTGTACGATGTGTGTATGTCTCTGTGTGTGTGTGTATGTGTGTGTGGGTGTGGGTGTATGTCTGTGTGTGCTTATATATGTGTTGTATGTGTATGATGTGTGTATGTGTGTGTGTGTATGTGTTGTATATGTATCATGTGTGTATTTCTGTGTGTGTATGTATGTGTTGTATGTGTACAATGTGTGTATGTATGTGTGCTTGTGTGTGTATGTCTGTGTGTGTATGTGTGTGTTGTATGTGTACGATGTGTGTATGTACATTTGTATATATGCATGTGTACGATGTGCTATGTATGTAATGTGTCTCTGTGTGTTCATACAAGTAAGGCTGAGCACGTGCCACGCATGGCACACGTGAAAATGAGAGGACAGCTGGATGCTGCTCTTCACTCTTCCCCTCTGCCTTGTTGGAGACAGGTCCCTCCACTCACTGCCATGCAGGCCAGGCTAGATAGCCTAGGAGCTTCCAGAGGTCCCCATCTCTGCCGTGAGGCACACAGGCACACGCTACTGCGTCCAGCTTTACACAGGCTCTTGGGGATTCAAACTCAGGTCCTCACACTCGCTCTTCATATGCTGGCCACCCCCTGGCCCAGTACAGATCTTTATGTCGTTTTCAAATATCTTATCTCAGCTGGTTGCACTCACAGATACAGAACCACGGACATGGAGAAGGTCTGTGCACTCCTGGCACAAGAACAGACCTTTCACTTCCTTATAAAGGGACCACAGACCAGACTTCACACTCATAATTCCACAGTCACCGCTGCTTCCCTACACACACACACACACACACACACACACACACACTCACTCACACTCTCACACTCACACACTCGCACACTCACACACTCTCACACACACACTCACACACTCTCACTCACACACTCACACACACTCACACACTCACACTCACACACACTCACACACACTCACACACTCACACACTCGCACACTCACACACTCTCACACACTCACACACACACTCACACACTCTCACTCACACACACTCACAATCACACACACTCACACTCACACACTCTCACACTCACCAACTCTCTCACACTCACACACACACACACCAGAACCATATTAAAGATACTGGCATACTATTATTTTGGTTTCCAAACCCGACATGAAAATAGGAATCAAGGCTGAGAACGGCCCCGACGGCAGAGTCAGGGAAAGGAGTCATGGCTCTAGGTGAGGCACCCACAGCAGGAGAGTTCCAGCTAAGCCCACACTCACCTCGGTGGCCAGCAGCAAGTACAGCGGTGTTAAGGCAGGAACTTGTCGAACATCACAGCTTAGGCCAAGGGTCATCAGGATCTCCTTAAGGACTTCGTGCCTTCTCAAGTTGCTGGACTTAAGTACGTTAAAGTCTTCCTGGGTTTGCACCACAGAAGCACTTGGGGGGAGTTCTAGGTGGACCTGAGGACAAACAACAGCAGGTAAACTCTGGGTGCCTGCATCAGAGAAGCACTTTCTGCACTGGGTTTGATGCAAATCTGAACATGACTCTTCTCCCATCAACTCTGAGCCCGACCATCTGGAGAGTGACATCAAGAAACAAGAATACAAGGATGAGAATGGGCCTCTTAAAACCACGGCTTCCAGGGCTCAAAAGTCACAGTGGAACCCACCCCTGGGTGGTCACAGATTCTCACCAGATCATGACTTTTACCATCAATTGACCGCAGGTCCTTGGAAAAGTCACACAACATGGACTAAACCATTTGGAGTTTTACACACTGCTGAAGCTAAGGAGGCACGACGGGCCAGGCTGGAAACTTCCACTCTACCCTGAGGTCAACAGGAGAAGCATAGTCATCATTTTTGACTGTTTATGGGACGTGGGGTGGGTAGAATGGACTTCCCAGACAACAGAAAGACCTTCCTGACCCCCGCCGCCACACCGGACTGAATTCTAAAATCGGGGTCTTCTTACATGCAGTCCAGGTGTTAAAGCATGATGTAGGATTTTAGGATACATACTGGAGGCCACACGGAGGTTATTAATATACAAGCATCTCCAACAGCATTCCGGGCAGGATGAAGGACCACACTGGAACTTCCAGCTCCCACAGGAGCGGATTCTGAGTGTGTCAGAGTCTGCAGGTGCCAGAACATTCAGTAGTAGCAAGCAACCCATGCTTAGTTTTATTCTGATTTTCTCTACTGACTTTCCAACCGGAACACTGGGAAGCTAAGACAGCATGGTGCCACCCTGAGGTTCTCTCAACCACTCAAACTTCGCCTGAGCTGTAACCAGGGCAAACACGTTGTCCAAAACAGGGCAAATGCTGAATGTTGGGGCCAATCTGAACAGGCTGGAGGACAGTGGTCAGGTGGTCAGTGGACAAGAGGTGGGCCTGTCCCCCAGACAGCCATTGACGAGGGACAGAGAAGAAAAGGGTGCCTGCAAGGGTCCGTACCCTGATCAATGGACCACTTCATCCACCTAAGCACATGGCTGCCCTCTGGGTTAACTTATATAGGTGGCACAAGTAAAATGAGCAGGTTATGTTCCTACAGGGGCTGAAGAGAGAGAGGGAAGCATATGGCTGAACACACACAGCCTCACTGGATGGACACAAGGAGCTTGTGCAGCACAGTGCACGGAGCTGATCTACACACAAGGAGGTCGCACAGGGAAAAGGCTTCCACCAAGCTGCAATGGGTCCCCAGGCCCAAAGAGGGCCCTGCTAAAGCTGGGAAAATGCTTTTGCTTGCTGGGCTGTGGAGGGTGGCTCAGAGGAGGATGCTTGCTTGGCATGCGTGAGACCCTGGGGGCTGCCCTTTCAATTAGAGACAGAACAGCACCCCTGACGCTGTGCTGTGTGAGGGGGCCTGGAGCCCTGACATAAGCCACAGTCATCAGCTGGCAATACTGATTGTCCACATCCTTGACCTGGCCTCTTGTAAGCTAAGGCTTCTCGACCGGACTGAAAGCCATAAGTAAAGATGTCTCGCCAGGCGTCGGTGGTGCACGCCTTTAGTCCCAGCACTTGGGAGGCAGAGGCAGGTGGATCTCTGTGAGTTCGAGGCCAGCCTGGTCTACAAGAGCTAGTTCCAGGACAGCCTCCAAAGCCACAGAGAAACCCTGTCTCGAAGAAAAAAAAAAAAACAAACAAACATGTCTCTAGCGACAAACGCAGAGCTGGCATCCAGTGGGCAGAGACCAGGAAAGCTGCTAAACGCCTATAGTCTATATGACCACACCCCACCACCAAGATTGACCTGGCCCAAAATGTCAGTGGGGCCACAGCTGAGAAAACTCTGCTATGAAACTTCCTCAGCTAAGCTGGGCAAACAAATGAAACATTTTCAAATCCATTTTCAAGCTTTATTTGGGCGACTTCATGCCAAAAATCCAGATCCATTTGATAATCTTGTACTTACTTGCCTTAACTGTCGGTTTAACGTTTTCCCAGAGTGCAATCTGCCCAGCAAGGCATGCGCATCACCAGCCCCCCTTTTTCTTCTTGCGTTCACGGGTGAACAAGCAGCTCCCTGGGCTGGGATGCCCCCGCCCGGTGAGCAATGGTACTGTGCCCTTGAAGTATTTGCCTTCTCTTACTGGGCTACATCATTACTAGATTTATTACAAAGACGAAGGCTATGAAATTGAACAGAGAACGAGGAAACATCACAGCCTGTAATAATATTTATCGGTTGACTTCAGTGAGGGGGTACAGCGACGGAGACTGCAGGAGGGCGCAGCGACCCTGCCTGCCACACGGGAGACTGGAAGTCATTTAGAACCAAAAATGCCACTCTAATCCTCTGGCCATGATTTGTGAACCTGGTCGGATTGCCTTTCCTTCTCCCTATGGCAGCATACAACTACAGTATCAAATTTTATGACAGTATCGGGGTCAGTTTAAATGGGGCAACAGACAGATGTGCCACGGCGGAACTCAGAGAAATGGGTTGCAACGTGCCCAATCAATTTCCTAGCACAAGTCTGTGCACAGAAGTGGGGGGTGGGGGGACAACTCTTCAAATCTGAAATACGGCTCCAGGAAGTGGGGTTTTCAAGAGAGGGTTTTGAGATTGCATGGTTGCTATAGAGACCATATTTGCAGAGCGGAAGATAAGAGGAACATTTAACTAGTCCATGTGGTCTGCAGCCTCACAGGAAACCTGCTGGCTCTCTGTGTGAGCGTCTGTCCCAGTGTCCGGGTGCTTGGAGCACCTCAGCCTGACCATCAGCTTAACAAACAATAGGCTTCAGACAAGGGAACAAGAGTGGGAGGCTGGGAGTGGGTGGGGCTGCCTGAGGGTGAAGACCTGCGCTCCCAGAACCCACACAAAGCCAGACTCAGTTGCACCTCCTCTAGAACCCCAGCACTCCTGCAGAGACCGGAGGCGGAGACAGGGCGGCCCTTGGAAGCCCGTGGGCCCGGGTAGCCTGGCGCAAGCACAGGAACAAACAAAAGACTGTCAAACAAGGCAGAAAGCAAACACCACATCCATAGCTGGCCTCTAACATGTGCATACCTGCAGAGACAGACAGACAGACAGACAGACAGACAGACAGACAGACAGACAGACAGACAGACACAGAGAGACTTGTTACATTGGTATGAATATTTGCATGCCTGTATGTATGTGCGGGCATGCAGGGCCTGTGGAGACCGGAAGACGGAGGCTGATCCCCTGGAAATGGAGTCATAGACAGCTGGCAGCCACCACGTGGGAGCCGGGAATCAAAGCCAGGTCCTCTGGAAGAGCAGTCAGTGCTCTTAACTGTTGAGTCATCTCTCCAGCCCTAAGGACTTAGGTTTCAAATGTTAACAAATCATAAGTAAAGAACAGAGGCCATAAAGATGTGTCCAACACTAAATACATACATGACTAAGAGTGTCACCTTAACATGAGAGGTGCTGGTCTGGAGTCCCTGCTATGCCTTTGAACTTCCTACATTAAACAAGGGCTTGATGATATTAACCAGGGTGTGCTTGAAGGCAAGAAAATACATCATATTTTAGGAAGATGGCTACCAATAATGACTAAAGTGGAAACATTTTCTGGCTAGTCCTTGGTTAACCTGAGGGTTTAGCTGGCCTTGCCTCCTGCTTCCACTCCTCAATCACATGCAATTTGGTTGACCGGGGTATTCATAAAAGCCCTCAGCTAGCCTTCCACACGCCAGAAACCCAGCCAAGAGTACCACTAGTACAACTAACCACAGGCACTTGAATTCTTGAATCCTTGGGTTTGTAAGTGTGGGGTGTGTGGTGTGTAATGTGTGATGAGTGCTTGTGTGAGTGGTCTATGTGTGTGATGTGTGGTGTGTGTATGGGTGTGGTTGAAACAGAAGGTAAACTGGAGAGGATGGAATTAACTCCATCCTCAGAAAAAGCCACCGTGAGAAATTCCCGGCATGGCACAAGGCTGATTCAGCTCCAGCCAAGGAACCATAAACAGGTGCGAGGAAAACCAAACTGTGCCCACCCCAGACAAAGTGACCCCATCCTGGTGGTCAGGCAATGACTAATTTTGGTAAATAACATTTTCTTGCCACAACTGCCCTTGTGGGCAACTGTTAGTAACAATTTTGAAATTCCCGTAGACCCTCATCAATGAATCCAATCCTGAACAGTCAAGGCACATACCACCTTGCTTGAATATTTTTTTTTACTTTATAAACCCCTTGCAATTGAGGCCAGGCACCCTTTTCCTGCAGCTGCTGCGTCGGTTTGCTGGACCAGGTCCCTGCTGAGACTTGTAACTTAACATTAAACTTTGAGCATTTGCATTGCTGAGTCGGCTCCTTGGTGGTCTTTTCTGGGGTCTCACAAACTCAAAAAATGTGTGTGTGTGTGTGTGTGTGTGTGTGTGTGTGTGTGTGTGCGCGCGACATAAAAACATATAAGCTTATGGGTGGAGCCCACAGGATAATCTCATTTGCTATTCCTCAGTGCGGCTCACCTTGGTTTTTGAGACAGAGCCTCTTACCAGCCTGGAACTGACTGAGGAAGGTTTGCTGGTTGTCCAACAAGCCCCAGGGACCCATCTGTCCCCACCTCCCCAGCAGCTGGATTACAAACACACACCACCACGCCTGGCTCTTTTCATGTGGTCCTCATGCTTGTGAGGCGGGCACTGTATTGCTATGGCCCCAGCGGTTCTTTCCCGTCCCCATACCTGGCAGAGAACGGCCTCTCCTCCACGGCTTCCAAAAGGTGCATGTACAATCATCTTGTCCTTGTCTGGATTCTCTAGATGGCCCTGGAGTTTGCCAGGGCCGGGGCCTTCCTCATAAACACAGCCGCTGCTCAGGACATTAAGCCGTACCTCACTCCCATCAGCCTTTGAGAAAACCAGGTTCTGGGCTGTGTTCCGTAGCATGTCCCTGCTTGTCACCTGAAAGCCACCAAAGGTGAAGGAGGAAGACAGGCCCAGCACCTTCCCTCCCTGAGAAAGATAGGCCATGAACTTCTGGTGTATGTCTTTGGGGATAGGTTCCCTGGTGGCAATTACCAATAGCAGGCAGTTGTCGGGCCAGGGGTCCCTGAGAGCACTGTCTTCTGGCAGATGGTAGAGAGCATAGCTGTCAGTGTCCACACAGTCAGTCAAGACAGACAGCACCTGCTGGAGCCGGCCCATGGCTTCCTCAGAACTGGAGCCCACATACAGCAAGATGTTGGGCGCCTTTCCCGAAATGTTGCCTCTCCTCTGTTCCTGTTTAGGGTGGAGTTCCTCGGCAGCACCGTCCACGGGGCTGCTGTGATCACAGGGAATGTCTGGAATGTTCTCTGCCGATGCAAACCTCACTGACTCGATGGTGCTGTTCTCAAGTTCCAGACACTCGTGGCAACTAGACAGGTGAAGCTGATGCCCGGGATCGCCGTCTGCAGCCGGCACACTTCCTGAAGCACAGCCTCGCCTCAGGAGGGAAGAGCCTTCATCAGCCCTCTTCCAGTCACCTTGGCCAGAATGCTCCATGACTCCCTGCCCAGGCTCGGTCTCAGGGGAAGGTTCTGGGCTCAGGGGTGGGGCTTGGACTTGCTTGGTGGAGGCCCCGTTGGCTTCCTTCGGAGCGGGGTCCTTTAAGTGAACTGCTAGAGCAGGAAAATGGGAGAGCTCATTAGTCAGCCCTACCGATGAGAAATCCACGGACTAAAGCGTGCTTCCTGTCCACCCCAACCCCCACATGTAGTAATTGTGTATGTCTTCGGTGAGATCAAACCTGTAGGCTAAAACGGAAAATAAATATGGGCCCTAATTCATGGCATTGGGAAGTCACAACGGCCCTCTGAGAATCATGTGACTCCCCATGGAAACATTTCCTGAGGTCACTTACAAACAATCTTCTGGGCGACCAGGCCATTATCCATCTGCAGCCTCTCCTCCATGAACGCCGCCCCAAGCTTGCTGAAGTCGTCCACGCTCGCTCTAGCAATCAACTGGTAGGGATCTCCGGGTCGGCAAGCTACTGGCAAACAACAGTCCGACCATCTTACAACCTGAGGAAAGCAGGAGAGGGGGAAAGGGGCTGAAAGCTTTCACTTCTCCAATGACCAGACACGATACTTTACCCTCAGGCTCCTCGGCCCTATGGTACAGTCAGACAGGCTGCATCTAGCAAGTTACTAGCTATCACCTTTGATCAACAGCAAAGACATTTGGGCCCAGACATCCTCAACCCGACCTAACAAGAGTGACCGATTCCAAAGCACTAAGCAGAGCTCAGATGTGGAGATACACGCCTCTCACGCCACCCACTGAAGGGGGCTATGGCCTGAGGATCTGAGTTCAAAGACGACATAAGCCACATACCGAGATCCTTAGAAATCAAAAAGGAGAACTGTAGGGATGGTTCCACGGTTGGCTGCTTTCCAAAAGGACATGGGTTCAATTCTCGGTACCCACACGGTGACTCTGTCCAGGGAATCTATTGCCCTCTTCTGGCCTCTGTGGACACCACACCCACGTGGTGCACAGTCATAGGTGAAAGCAAAACACCCATACAAATAAAATTAAGTGTAAAAAGTGTAACTTAGACATAAATAAAGGTGACCAAAGTCTCAACTGCTTTGGTGTGCTAAAGGCAAAAGGGGCAGTCTCCAGACTTGAGTAAAACCTATCTGCCCTTTTGTGACGGGCACAGGACAGGCGTCTCCCCAACACCCAGTAATGTGAAGGGAACCTGCCCACCAGCTACTTTCCAGTGCAGTCGGGGGCCAGCTGCAAAGGTCTACCTGACCTCCACCCCAGACAGAGTGCATTCCAGGCACCAGAACTGTCCAACACATACCCAGTGTCAGAGACGGGAAGGACGGTCCACAAGCCCGCCACTAGAGGGCGAGAGACACTAGGCCAGGAAACAGCCTTCCCGTTTGGTTATCAAAGGATTTTCCACAGGAGATAAGACAGGCAGTCTCTGAGGGTTCCCAGCGGAGAAGAGGGTGCAGCTGAACGTCCGGGAAGCCTGACTGCAGAGTCCAGGAAGCCAGAGTCAGACTCAAGCTCCACGCAACGCCCTCCTGGGCCCTGTGCAAGAATCTGCACCTCTCAACACCCTCTTTGTAAAGAAGGAAAAATGATAGCCTTACTCACCACCTCAGGTCTGTGTGGCAGTGAGATTACAGAGAGGGGGAAATGCCGCCGGGCAGGGGGGCGGTGCTGGAGAAAGTCACCCCAAGAGCACTCCTGGCTGTTTCTGAGGACCTGAGTTCAGTTCCCGGGATCCAACCCCCTCTTCTGGTCTGATACATATATACATAAATAAATTATAAATTATATCTTTTATTATAATAATAACAAAAGGAGTAACACTTTGGCTAAAGTCCTCAATTAGTGCGAGCTGTTTCCATCAGCAACAAGAAGCAAGGCAGCCTCTGTGTCACCACCAATGAGTCCTCAACACCCCAAAAATGTCCTCAAGGGCACACTGCCCCGCAGTTCACAGCCAGGGGTACAGAATTCTGAACTCCAATTTCTAAATTGAGGGGATAGGTTTTTAGAATAAATTTCCTACTGGAAACCCACAGAGAGAATACACAGCTGGAATAACCATAAATTCAAAGTAGAAGAATGAAGATGGGTCCCTGCCTCAGAACACTACCCAAACTGGGTCAAAGACCTCCACTTCAAAGACAAAAGTATAAGTCCTCAGAAGAACACAGGTGCAGATTGTCAAAACCCAGGATCAAACAACAGCTCCTCAGATAGGACACTAAAAGTATAGGCAGCATAAGAAAAAAAAAAAAAAGATAAGGGGCTGGAGAGATGGTTCAGATGTTAAGAGCACTGGCTGCTCTTTTAGAAGACCCAGGTTCAATTTCCAGCACCCACATGGCAGCTCACAACTGTCTATAACTCTAGTTCCCTGGGGATCTGACACCTTCACACCAATGCACATAAAAGAAAATAAATTAGGGCTGGTGGCTAAGAGCACTGACTGCTCTTCCAGAGGTCCTGGGTTCAATTCCCAGCAACCACATGGTGACTCACAACCACCTGTAATAAGATCTGGTACCCTTTTCTGGCCCACACAAAACTGTATATGTAATAAATAAATAAATCTTTTAAAAAAAAGAAATTAAAGAGAAAAAAAGATAAATTGGAAGTTACCAATGTTTTTTGTATGTCAAAGGACATTCAAGAAAGTGAAAAGGTAACACACAAAGACTGGGTAGTATTTGCAAATCCCGCAACAAACTCCTACAACCAACAGTGACAAAGTAAACAATGCATTCTTCAAGCGAACAAAGTGGAATTTGAATATATTATTTCTCAGAAAACTATAATATGCAAATGACCAATAAACAAAGTAAATGTAAACCAAACTGCAAAAGAATATCACCCTCTATACCTCTGGGCTGGCGAGCATAAGAGTACGGACAACATGAGAGGAAACTGTAAATCCTGAGCCACCAAGCCTGAGTGACATCCTGAGTTCAATCCCCAGAGTCCACATGTGGACAGAGAGAACCAATGCCTGCAAGTGGCCCTCTGACCTCTGACTTCCACCTGTGTGTGCTCCATGGCACATTGAAACAAATTGGAATTTGAACACACTGCTGATGGAGATGCAAAATGGTTCAGCATCTTCAGGAAAAAAAATCTGAGGGTTTTCCAAAGAGTTTAAACACTGAGTAACCAACCACACAACCAAGCAATTCCACTTGAGCATGTACGGAAGAGAATTAAAAACAAGTGCCACACACGCACACATACACACACATACACACACACATACACACACACATACACACACACATATACACACACATACACACACATACACACACATACACACATACATACTCACATACACATACACACACACACATACACATACACACACATACACATACACACACACATACACACACACATACACACACATACATACTCACATACACACACATATACACACACACACATACATACACATACACACACATATACTCACATACACACACACACACATACATACACACATACACACACACACACACACACACACACACCCTGTACATAAATGCTCAGGGTACTGTACATAATCCCCTAAACAAAAATGAACCCAAATATCCTGTAACAGGTGACTGGATATAAAATGTACATCCACAGATGGACCATTACATATCCGTTAAAAAAGAGAGAAGTACCAATACATTACAACACAGATGAGCCATGAATAGCTTAAAAGATGCCATCTCACTGGAGAGACTGCTTAGTGGCTAAAAGCACTGACTGCTCTTCCAGAGGTCCTGGGTTCAATTCCCAGCAACCACATGGTGGCTCACAACCATCCGGGTTATGAGATCTGGTGCCCTCTTCTGGTGTGCAGATGTACATGGAGGCAGAATGTCGTATACATAATAAATAAATAAAATTTAAAAAAAAAAGTTGTGAATGCAGACAGAGCACTCATACATAAAATAAATAAATCTTTTAAAAAATAAAAAAAGACGCTGTGACAAACCACAACCAAAACCAAGCTGAGGAGGAAAGCGTTTACTTGGCTCACACTTCCACATCACAGCTCATCGGCAAAGGAAGTCAGGACAGGAACCCAAGCAGGGCAGGAACCTGGAGCAGGAGCTGATGCAGAGGCGGTGGAGGGAGCTGCTTACTGGCTTGCTCCCCATGGCTTGCTCAGTCTGCTTTCTTCCAGAACTCAGGACCAGCAGCCCAGGAGGAGCCCCACCCACAGTGGGCTGGGCCCTCCCGCATGGATCACTAATTGAGAAAATTCCCTACAGGATTGACTGCAGAATGATCTCATCTAGGTATTTCTCAACTGAGGCTCCCTTCTCTCAGGTGACTCTGGCTTGTGTCGAGTTGACATAAAAACTAGCCAGGACAGATGCCGATTATACACGATCCTACTGATGTAGCAAACCCACAGCTGAGCGATGGGAGTGGGTGGTGACTGCTGGTGGGACAGTTTCTTTCTGAGGTAAGGCCAGACAGGGGTGATACTGTAAAATGCTATGAATACATCAGAAACTATGTAACTGAGTTGTACATATTAGAAGGGAAGTCTTATGACATGTACATTACATAGCAAAGATTTATTTCATTTTTACTTATGTGTCCATGTGTGTCTGTATACATGCACACCACTGCTGTCAGTCAGACACCAGAAGAGGGCGTCAGATCTCCCAGGAGCTGCAGGAACAGGAGGTTGAGAGCTAACCTGTGTAGGCACTGGGAATCTAACTTCAGTCCTGTGCACCACAGAGCCATCTCTCCAGTCCCACACACCAACCCTTTCAGGAACCCAGTGAAGCCAGTTGGCTAGTTCTGTACTCTCTGGGACAGCCTAGTCAGTAAGAGAGTCAACGCAACTGCCTAGACTTGAACGCTGGAGCTCCCAGTGAACTGAGCTGAACATCCCTGGTCTTCCCTGAACAGACTTCCTGTCTAGATGACGGATGGGATAAGAGCACCCACCTGGAAGCTACCGTGCGGATTTGAATGAGATGCCTGAAAGAGTCAGGTGCACACCGGTGCTCTGATTATCCCCAAACCTGAAGTCCTCAGAGCAGTTCCTCACAGCACAAAACACAAAGGCGTAGAAAGTGAGAGTCGGATATTACTGCTGTCTCTGGTCCTCCAAGTCAACCTACCACATGAAATTTTATTCCTTAATAGTCTTAGAATTTAAATTGAACTGAGCTTTTCCTTAGAGAAACAAAGAAAAATAGAAGTTAACAGGCACTGTTAAAAGACATAGCAGGGGAGCAGGCGTTGGTGGAGCACTGCCTCCCAGAGGCAGGTGGATCTCTGTGAGTTCGAGGCCAGCCTGGTCTACAGAGTGAGATCCAGGACAGGCTCCAAAGCACTACAGAGAAACCCTGTCTCAAAAACAAAACAAAACAAAACAAAAAAAGACATAGCAGGAACAGTCATAAACACAGGGCTCTGGTCAGTAACTGACAGAACAAGTGCACAAATAGAAGCCAAGACTTTTCTTTTACATAAACTGAGAGCTTCCCTCCACCTTATCACC